TCCCCTCTTTTGTCACCTGCCCCTTGTCTTGTCTCTTTGAGTAGTCAGCCTTTGTCTCTGTATTTGGTTAACTTTGGTCCGTCTAGTTCATAGCTTCTTGTCTAGGTCATAGTGTGCATGTGTTTATCTTCTTATTCTATTCTGTGATCCCTGTTATGTCTCGCTCTCTGGTCTCTCTGTTTGTTGTCTCAGGTGAGTCGTCTTTCAGTCACGTTTGTGTTCTGTTCCTGTTTCTAGTGTCTGTTTCTGAGTTTGTTATGTTTCCTGTTTTATTTTTATTTAGTCCCTTGTCTCATGTGCATTGAGTTCCTGTCTTCCATCCTCCTGTGTATTTATTGTCTGAGTCTCCCTCTGGTCTTTGTCGTTGTCATACTTTCCCCCATGTGTGCGTGTTCAGTTTTGTAACTTGTAAGTTCTGCTTTTCTGCTTGATTCCTGGTTAGTCTGAGTTTCTGCATAGAGTATTTTGCTCCCCAAGCTCTGGCAATAAATGCTGTTCAAAGTTCGGTCGTGTCTCCAAATCTGCAATTGGGTCTGCACTCTGCCAGCCACATATTGGCCACATTTTTGGCACCTTTGGGTTTTGTGTTTTAAAATTTTGTTGTTTGAATTTCTGTGATTTTGGAGTCTGATTCCTGTATGATTGTGAGTCTTAGTTTGAGTCTACAATTCATTTTTATCCATTCAGTTCAGTTCAGTTTGTAATCCCAACAAACACTTCATGGTTGTATTTGGTCAACTGGCCGTCTGTTTGGTTTGTTTTTTTTACACGTATTCCTACTTGAACAATGGCTCCAGATTTAACCACTGCAGTGACGTCGGTTTCAGGTACTTCTTCAGGTTGCTTGGACATCCTTATTAGACTTTCTACCAACAGAAAGCTTAAGAATTGTTTCCTACTTACTATAGATTAGAATGAAAAAACAAAACATTTTCTAGTTTGCGTCAGTGGTGACGCAAACTCATTATCGCACGCTTCCAGCCCTGTTTTTTTCCTATTGAGGTGTTTATACACACAAGGAGCTGCACCCCTGGGTTTATGATGCTGACATCAGGGACAGAGCGGTGATGCTTCTAACGGTCGAATGTGTTACCGACTTCATTCAACAAATGAGGCCCAATTTACATGTGCACAAATGTAAATGACTTAAAAGTAGAGAAGGTGTGTGGCCATCTATTAGCAACCATATACTAACCAGATTGGTTCTCTAGGAAAGACAAAGAAAGAAATACATGGAACCATCAACAGTCATCTCTCTTTTGTTCGAGTTTTCAGACAAACCACGACTGCTTTGTCTGCTTTGCTTTGTCTGGCATCAGGTTTTTAACTATGTTTCCTGTGATGTTTTGATTTTTATGAGTTGCAGTTTTAGCTCCACAAGTGTTTTCTCTCTGTCTCGCCTTTCTGATGATGCCCGTTCTCCTCTCTCTGTCACGGCTGCTGTTTAGCATTCGTCTATTTCCTGTTTTACTTTGAACTTTCTTTAATGCCTTGTGTTTGTTGTACTTCGTGCTTTGTGATTACATACAAAACTGCTCCACCGTGTACTAGTTACACATTCGCCTAACAAGCAAAAGATCCCCGGGTGGAGACACAAACCCCTGGGGGTTGCACCAGGAATTGCATCTAGCGTTAAAAATCTGGGAGCAACCGTCAGTAGCTTTTTACAGAGCAGCTGTTGCTGCACAGAACACGTCACGTCTTCACGAATTTCTATGGTTTGAAAATATAGCTCCAAGTGATTTATTTTTTGTGAGTTCAGGACTTCTGAGTGTGGCATGCCTAATTAAAGAATTCACTACTTCATATCAAAAAATAAAAAAGGTTTTCACATGACTAATATATCTGATTTATGACATGTCAAAGATCTGTAAACATACAGGTGTCAGTGTAACAGCGGTGCTGTTGAGTTTTAATGCAGTTCCCCACAAATAAAGTGAATAAGATCCGAGATTCACTTTTTTATCTCATAAAAATAGCGCAGCCTACTTGGTCCCATCTCAATCCGCGATGCGCTGCTGAGTCAGGGCATCAAATCAGTGCCATGATTTAGAGAAGGTGAAAGCTGGAAGGATATTAGTTCTCTCGTTGAAGCCTTTATTTGCTCTGCTGTGATGGGTTTAATGACAGAAAGCTCAACAATAAACATGATTTGTAACGCACTCGGTGCACAGAGCTGTACTTTATTTCCCCCAGGACTGAACTCATACAGGCTGTCTGTCTCTGCTCAGGGAGGCAATCATCAGAGAAGTGTGTTTACAGACACTGATGGTCATCTCACTTTTGTCTCCTGGTTTTTAGGGTGTTTTTTTCCAGCTGAATCAGGACATCAAAGTTGCAAACAAACCTCTTTGTCAAATAATGTAAAGCCATAAAGTATAAGCAATATAAACAAGGTGATCTTCTTCCAAGCAGGGGAAGAGATTATTATATTGTTCTGAATAATAAGGAATAATTTGATTAAAAAAAACACATAATCTCTGACATTTATCAAATGTTCTCCATGTTATATATGATGACATCATTCCCTGAACTCTTGTAAGAACAGATCTGATGGAAAGCCTGAGGTGAATTTGTGTCTTTGTGCATGTCCTTCTCTCCTTGTTGCTGTCCATCTACTGTCATCTGTCTTCTAAAACCATCATATACTGTAAACTCTAATCTCCTCTTCCCTGCACCAGCAGTTTGTTTCCCCTAAAATAAATGTCCAAGTATATTCCAAAGGAAATGACAAACAAACATATCATTTTGTGACTTTTTTTTACCTTGTCCTCCAGAAGTCTTATTGTTGCCAGCAGCAGCTCCAGATGTTTGTCTCTGCAATACAAAAAACAAAATGTAAGAGTCAGTGGAGCGCAGATTTCTTCTCATTTTAATCCACCAGACTTTCCTCTGACAGCATCCTGTCTTTGTATCCAAAGGGCCTGACTACGTGCCACTGGTCTGTGCTCTTATTGGTTATTAAGACCTAGTCTCATGATTGCTTCTGACATACTGGAGGCTGCGCTGGCACGCCTTCCCCATGACAGCCAGAGGGGGTCTTAAATGTGGCCACGTGGGCTGGGCAGTGCAGGCCCTGTGGACCAAGGAGCCCGTGACAGTAGAGACAGTTTACAGTAAGACAGGGACTGACACAGTACCCAAGGGGTTGCTCTTCGCTATGACTTGTCACTGTGACACTACAGAGGTCACAATAGTAGCAACATGTTTTCTTTTCTCACTATTTATAGAGATAATATAAGTATATCTTATACAGCCTCATGCAGCTGGATGAGTACTTAAACCTTAGCTTTAAATAAGGGCTTAAACGTCAACTAAATGAGGATGTGTACATTGTAGGTATAGTTTTATTGTATAAGAAAGTCCAATTACATTATGTACCTTATGTACCTAATACCACATTTCACATCAGTTTATAGTATTAAAAGTATATATTACACATTCATAGGATTTTTATAGCCTATTAAATAAAAAGGTGCACAGGTCCAAAACAAGCCAAAGGACATTAGTAGGTACTGCGTACCTGTTTGCTAAATAGATTTTAAATAAATAAAATATAGATAGCCACACTTAGTTGATATAGCATTATCATTACGCCTTTAAACACTAAAGCAGCAACATTTATCTAAATGCCATGTCTCATTATCCAACAGGCATTTATTTGCCACATCATATTAACTCTGTATTCCAAACACACTCGCTTTCCCCCATCAAACTGCAAATAGGCACTAATCTCTAGAGAAATAACACACACACACACACACACACACACACACACACACACACACACGCACACGTTCAGTTAATGTATGTAATACCCATTTCTGCCAACGCAACATGTGATTTTCTCAGCGTGTACATAAAGTGAGCGCAAACACCGGGGAGTTTGAAAAGTTTTGCCTCATAATGAGATATCAGTATGCTGGGAAAATAAATGTTCGGTCATAAAAACAAGTTTATGTAAGAAAAAAACAACTATATAGCTCTTGGTAGTAAAATGCCTTCATTTGTATGTTAAAGTGTTTGGGATCCAGACAGGTACTCTCAGCATTAGAGGCATGAAAAGGCTAAAACATTACAGAAGAGTATAAGAGTGACACTTCATCACAGTGAGCAGATTAGGCAAAGCTATTCTTAGAACCATATTATAGCTTTTAATATGCAGCACAGCAAGGAACATCATCATCATCATAAAGAAACCAAATAAAAGAAGTAAAGACAGATTAAGGAAGGGAAGGGAGGAGGATGGGCTGCAGCGAGGAGCAACATCTCAAGTCTTCTGCTTTTTCCTCTTTTTTTTGGTGAGTGGCTGAGTGTCAAAAGCCAGTACACATTTTGACATCAGTCGTTGTCCAATGAACAAAACTGTGACATCCTTGTAAAGCTGTGTGCATTCATGTTATTTTAAAAAACCCATCACAAATCTTTTTGTCTTTATTTTGAAAAAAAAAAAAGCTTTTAGTTGATACTTTAATGTTGGTGATTAGTCAAGCAAGCAAGATAATTCACTTCCACAGCCTATCAGCAGATGTCTATTTTTAAAATATATATATATATTATATATATTTCTTAAGCTTCAGCTGGTCCAGAATTCAGTTGCTTGTATTGTCACTACAGTCCACTCACCACATCACTCCTGTTCTGCAACAGCTTTACTGGCTCCCACTTAAATTCCACATTAATTTCAAAATGTTTCTTTGGCCGTTCAAGCCATCCACAGCCTCGCCCCTCCATGTCTGTCTGACCTTCTCCAGGTTGCCACTTCCCCTTGCGCTCTTAGATCTTCTTCCTCCCTCCACTCGTCTCACGAGAATAGGGTTCAGAGCTTTCAGCTGGTCTCCTCCCTGGCTTTTGAACTCATAATCTTTAAATATTAAATATCATAAGATATAAAATATCATTTTGTATTTTTTTTTAAATAGCAGGTTAGCTTAGCTTCGCTTAAACCCTGGGCACTAAGCATTTCAGAGAAATAAAGTTTTTCTCTGGAAGCATGAATATGATGTCACTGCACTTTTATTTACTTGTTTAAAAATATATTTTTGTCATTCAATTATTGACACGAAGAGCATTCCCTACAGTGTTCAAAATTAATGGAGCTAAAAGCAGATAGCATTTAATGATCCTCTTGTTTGCTGCTCCACCATATCAGCCCATGCTAATTAATTCAGTATTAGCTATCCCTATCCCCAGGCCTGTGTTTGGGCCCGCCTTGGTGGCCCATTTATCTTCAGAGCCACAACCGAAGGGTTCTGTGGAGAGAGAGCGTGCAAACACTCCTAACTCACTGTCACTTTAATAAAAATCATTATGCACAGAAAGTAGACACCCTGGAGGAAATGCTCACTAGCAAACTTTTAGTTTAAATTTCTGCTAAATTTCTGCAGTGCGATTTCCATCTGAAGCCACACACATGGTACAAGGCTCAAAAGTCCCCCGTGCAATCACTGTGAGTCGATTTGAACTCACACATGTTTGTCTGCAGTCGAGTAACTTTCTTGCAGGAAATCACTGCAGAAATTACAATGTCACTTTAACATCAACAATATGCATTTTCATATTCAGAACCAGGGTGTGAGCTGGGATCGTTTCTCCCTTATTTATCGAGGAGGAGGGGATGAAGAGAGGAGAGCAGGATCAATACCTCCCTTTGCAGTTAAGATGTAGTCTAAAAACATTGGCACCGGGAAGATAAATGACCTGAATCAACTCTCTGACTGTCTCCTGTGGTCCGCGGGTGGGGGGGTGGGGGGGCAAGAGAAACTGAGACTTTCAGCCTTTGCAGTCAAATGTGTTCCTGGAGCCTGAAGTGGAAGTGACCAGAAACCAGATCACCCAACATGCTTTAGAACTCTAAAATAATAGTGCACTGTGGTGGAGAATTTATGGTTTGATTTCTTGCTGAGATGGAAACTGATACAACTCCGTTATAACTGGTAATAGTTCAGGAGAAGATTCTGTCCTGTGATTGGTTAGCCGGTTGTTAGCTAAAGGAAGACTTTTTAAAAAACCTCAAAAACCATCAACATGCAGTCAGTTTGGGTTCTTTCACTCAGTGCAACTCTTATTACTAATACAAGTCAATAAATGCCTCAGAGATCAGAATGCAGTGATTATATCATAAGAATGTGTTACAGATTAAATTTTATTTTTACATTATTTTATAGTTCCAGCTTTTTAAATATGACAGTTTGCTACACTTCCTTTTACCAATTCTGATCATTTAAAAGCTTTGGCTGTATTCCCCAACTGGTTGGGTGAGGTTGCTGGCAGTCGGTGTGACATTGCTAGCAACCCCAATGCGAGCAGGTGTGGTGATTGGTTGATGATCAACTGGCAACCTCTGGTTGCTAGGGAAAAGTGTGAATTCCATGACCGGTTGGCAAGTGGTTGCTGACAGTCCCTAGTTTTGAAAATGTTGTAAACAATGCTGCACAGTAAACCTCCTTGTGAGTGCTTTTATCACTAGCAGGTTGCCATGGTCACCAGTAGTTTCTGTGTTGTGTGCAGACTCTGAAATTGCCCACTGAGCAGTAGTGCAACTGTGCAAACGTGCAACGTAAAGTGAGGAACATCAATTTTTACATTAAAACTTGGTTCTCTGGAAATGTGTTAGTTACAATGAGATACAAAATTTACCCTGAAAATAATAATAATAATAAATCTGTTTCCTACTTGCAACATGCTTTTTCAAGTCTCTCTACAACTCAGAGTAAATGGCGGCGTTTGCAGCCAAGTCGGTATCTTCCATTAAACTATCTGCTAACAACCGAAGCAGGTTTGGATGATCTCTTGTGTCACCCAAGAATGCCCCTCTAACAGTGTTTGCGCAGTACGCAAATTAATTGTATTTCTATTTAAATATTTAAGGTAGCCATTTAATATAAACCATCACCAACTACTGGCTGTAGCCACAGAAAACAAAATAAAACATTTATAAATTGACTCCAAACGTTCTGCTTGTACAATGAACCAAAGAGCAAGTCATGTTATTTATCAGATAAATGTGCCAAATTAGTGAAGGTGAGTAGAAAGCTACTGTCTGTAACAAAGTTGTCATGCCACAAAAGTAATGTTTCTTTATCCCAATGCAGTTTAAACAGGCAAGTTATGAAAAGAAACTGCTTTACATATAGACATTCAATGAGAGGAAACTACTACAGCTACGAGGTGTTAGCTAGTTTTGGGCTGTTTTCATGGTGGCTTTGGAGCATTTTAACACATCTTTCTATGGTACTCATCTGCTTTGGAGCAAATTTAATGTACTCGTTCAAAGGACCTCAGCTTTTGCCTCTTTTAGTACTGGGCTAACTTTTTATCACTGGAGCTAGCATCTTGGCTGTCTCCAGAGTTTAAGCTAAATACAGCTTGGTAGCAAGTTAGTTGCAAGACTAGCATAAAAGAGGACTGAAGATAAAGTAAAGTACAGAAAATGAAACAGGGCCTTCAATTGCACAGTGCTTATCATCAGGGCTTGACATTATTTACCTATACTTAACAGAGTTATTGATATGATATTGAATTTTACTCATCTCTTTTCTATATATATTATTATTATTTTATTTTAACCTCCAGTAAATTCAGTGGGAAACAATGAGGAGAAGCCACGGTAGCAAAACAGAGAAAGAAAATGGTTTCATTTAGGGAGCATGTATCTGACTGCCTCCTGGGGGATTTAGCTCCTGCTATTTTCACCACAAGCTTTTAAAAGCTATCCACCTGCTCGGTCAAAGGTTTCCCATTCGGTCATGTCAGATGGGTTTCCATGGTTTAATAGCTGAGGAGTCAAGAAAACATCACGTTACGTGTCCTCTTTT